TTATTTTTTTTTTTCTTCAGAAATTATTTTGTTTTACAGTCTTTTTGAAATTTTTTATATCATATACTATTACATTATTTTATTTTTTCATCTTCTTCTTGGATTTCTGCAATTTATCAAATAAAGTAGTTAAATTCATATAAGATAAATCTCTAAAATTTTAAATTATTATTAATTTAGGTTGCCAACTACAATTTACGTATCTAAAGATTTTGATAACAAAATTGTAATATTAAAAAACTTTTTTCAAAGTTCCTGTGTGATTCACAATATGAATGAAATTTTTTTTCATATCATAAAATTTTTATGGTATTATTATAAAGAGTTTATACTTATGAGTTAGTGTGTCTTTCTTTATCCTTTTTATCTCAGCTGTTCTTTAATAGGTAACTTGAAGAGTGTCACATATTTCTTTCACATTTTCAAAGTGAGAAACACCCGAAAACTCATTAAGACTAAGACTGATAGTGGTCATAGTTTTAGCTTTCAAACTGTGCTACGCTTTTCACTTTCTTCATTAGTTAAATCATTTTCATCTTTGTTTATCACAACACTGTTAACTTGATACATGAGAAAAAAAAGACCACTTTTAAAAGCCTTGTAAATATCATAACCTATCCCTCTATAAGATTTTAATATTCTATTTTCACAAAGCATAACCTTCTCCATTAAAGGATGGAGGATTTGTTTAGTTAATCATTTAAAGTTATTTCAAGGGACTCCAAACACGATATGAGCGGATGAAGATTTGTTTAGTTAATCATTTAAAGATTTTAATATGGAAAGTTTTGTAATTATATTGTCATTAATTGATTAAAGGTTTCTCTAATTAATTTGTGGAATTACAAATGTGTTAATTGATTAACTCTAATTTGTTAATCGATTAACATGTGTAAAAAATCCTTCTAATTGATTAAATAAGTTAATAACCAACTAAGCATGTGTGTAAAACTATTTTCAGGAGTTTTATCAAATGAGAGAGGCTTTAAATCAATTTGGGGTGTGTGTGTGCGTGTGTGTGTGTGTGTGTGTGCACGTGTGTGTGAGCTACCTTAATTTCTCGACAGTTACTCTTATACATTTACATTAAACTGATCACTCAGATAAGCACTTAGTGAAAGACCAGACGAGTTTTCACACTTTCTCTATTTCACAACTTTGGAGCTTCAGGTCCCTTTGTTAGATTCATCAATGACTTAGTACTTCAACTAGAACTTGACTCTTCTAAATGATGAGGCTTGAAATATATTCTTCAATTTGGTGCCATCATCAAAGTTTGTTGGAAAATTGTTACCACATACTTCATCAAATGTTGTTTGACATAATGTGTTGTCAACCAAAATCAACAAAATAATCTAATAACTGCAGATAATTGTACTTACAAGTACATAGATTGTGAATCCCGTGTGATCCATGTTGTTTCAGTCAGAATAACGCTATGAAGAGTGATGGATGGAAAAACTAAGTAAGATTTATAGAGAATTTGAAAAGATGATTGCTCATAGGATTGGAAGTAAGATACTTCCACACCATGTGTATGATATCTTATTGGAGTAGTACGGGGGATGCGAGGCAGTAGGTGTGGGTGCGCTTAGTACGTAGTATTAGGCCAAGTGAAGTCTAATAAGAATATGAATAGCTGGATCATAATGTCTCTTGAAATTACTGAAGAATTTATAAGAGAAGAATCATCAATATCATTTATGGGTAAGGAATCAGTGGTTGACACCACAATAATTTTATGGTGTTGGCTATCTAAGAAAAGTAGAGTGGCGTATCAGAAGGAGCAAGTTGTAGAAGGAGGTTTGAAATAATCAAGGTTTAGAAATAGAGTATGATTAAATCAAGGAGTGTTGGAGAAGTCTGATAACACTAAAACACATAGTTTTTTTGACTTGATATGCACATATTTTAGTGTCACTTTATCATATTTTGTAGTGTTATGCTGGTAATTGGTGTACGTTTCAGGTGCTTTACACGTAGGAGTCGATATATAAAGAAACCAGAAAAAAATGACGCAAAGCGAAGAAAAATGGAAAAAACACACTGATGGCAACCTACCAATGCACCAGCCATGACTAGGCAGTCATGGAGCCTACCAGAGAGAGAAAAAAAAGCAAAGAGACACAGTCAAAGGACCATGGCGCCCGCCACAGGGGTCATGGCGTCCACCACACAACTCAAACTGGCCAGGATCCTCTTTTTTACACTTATGGCGACCGCCATAGTGCATGGCGTCTGCCATGCACTTCATTCCCTAAAAAATTGCAATAGAATTATGCCCAGTCTTCCCCCATTCCTCCATATTTTCTCCCACTACTTCTACACGTTTGGACTTCAATTTTAGCACTTGTAACACTATAAATATGTAGTTTTTATCATAATTTTGAATCCAAGTCTTGTGTAAGTTCAGAGCAGTTTTAGTTTTAAGCATAAATCACCATTATAAAGTAGTAGCTTTCTCACGTTGAGGAACTACTACACTTTAGTGTTTAGGCTTGTATTTTGTGCTTGGGTTAAACAATCTTGCCATCATCTGAAGTTTAATTCCAGTTTATTTCCAATTCTACATTGCAGGTTTATTTAAATTTCAATTTCTTTACCTTTCAGCTTTTATTTTAAGTCATTTATATTCTGCAGCTTTTATTTTAGGTCCTTTACAATTCCTACTTTATCATTATATTTCTATTGTTATTGCTCAGGATTCCTGGTTCATCCTGTTAATTCATCTGCAAACCCCTTTATCAATTGTTTTAAATTGTTTATTATGTCTTTGTTCAAATTGGACATTAATAATTGCATGTTTGTTTCCGCAACCATGTCTGTTTAAATTTCTAGAGTCTGGATGTGAGGATTGTTGTCCCGACGGGACTCAGTAAATAATTTGGCGTATAATTTTAATGTTAACTTATTTTTTTCGGTTCTGATTTTTATGTTTTAAATTCAAAAAGGTTTTGCGCGAAAGTGAAAACACCCATGTACTTGTCAATAGCGCAAAAGTTTGAGACCCATACTGGATCGTAAAATTTGGATTTAATTTCTAAATACAGCAACAAAGCTTTAGGGATTTACTAGGATTTATTAGTTTTCAAAGAGTGTTTCGAAATTGTAAATGAGACAGCGACAACCAAGCATTTACGTTTTGAAACATAACACGGGTTGTGTGAAAGTGAGTAGTGTTTTTAAATTGGTACTTTCTTTCGAAAAATATTTTAAACAAACGCCAAGAATTTATTGAGTCCTAGAGGTGCGATTGGAAATTACATTATGGTCTCGCTTTTATTAATTTTCTCTAAACCAAACTTTATTTCTTGTTTTATTCTTCTTCAAAAATAAAAAATATACTCGATTAGCCTAAGATTTACATAGCAATAGTTGGTAACGATATGATTGATTGTTGTTCTTTGTGTGTTCGATATCTTTTATATTACTCTGATAATATTCGTGCACTTTCGGATAAGCTATCACACATAGACACACATCAAAGTTTTTGGCGTCGTTGAAGAGGACCAATTTAGTAAAAAATTGTAACTCCATTGTTGCATCGTATAGACTAAGGAAATTTTCCCTTTTATTTACCGGTTGTATGTCAAGCACTCACTCCCAAAGAGAAGACTTATAGAAACTGATTGATGAAGTAGAGCGTTTCCTGCATATAAGATACAAAATTGAACAATATCAAGCCATATTTGCATCCCTGGTTGCACTTGATATGAAACCTCTTCAAGATTACGTTGTTCCATTAGAGGAAAAGCCACATTCAAGAATTGTTCCACCTGCAATCCAAGCGAACAATTTTGAATTGAAATCATCTTTGGTGCAAATAGTGCAACATAACCAGTTCTCAGGAAATCCTACTGAGGACCCACATCTTCATTTATCAGTGTTTGTGCAATATGCAGACACTCTAAAAATAAATGGTGTAAATGTTGAAGCCAGAGCATTTACCATTTTCCCTAAAAATAAATGGTGTAAATGTAAATGAGGAAATCCTACGTCTATTTCCATTTTCCCTTAGAGGCAGAGCCAGAGCATGGCTACAATCTCTACTTGCGTATTCAATTACAACTTATAATAGACTTAAGAAAATGTTCTTAGCCAGATATTTCCCACCAAGCAAAACGACAGTGCTGAGAAATCACATAACCATGTTTAAACAAGTCGAAGGGGAGTCGCTCTTCGAAGCATAGGAACGATATAAGGATATGATAAAACTATGTTCTCATCATGGTTTAGAATAATGGCTAATAATATACACCATCTATAATGATCTACTTTACAACACAAAAATACTATAGACGTGTCGCGGTGAAATTTGGATACCAAACTATTGATTAGTTTGAATCTTTAATTCGTTTTCCAACCGAACTTTGATTTGTCCAAAGGAAGGGATAAAGATCGAAATTCCCACAATGCAATGCAAATGCAAGGTTAGAGAGTTTAGGTTCGGGGGTTGGTTAAACTTAGGGAAGGTATTAGCATCCTAAGTTTCTGTAGTACTCTACAGGAACCTCTTGTTTTATATTTGTTTATTGCTAAGTGTTTATCTGCTTAATGGTTAAAAGACCTAGGGGGTTTATTTCTAAGTATACTCGATAAGATGTCACATCTTATGCCTACATATCCTTACGGGAATGGAATCAGAGTATTTTGTAGTTCACCCTAAAGGGTTTGAGGAGTTCTTTGACTATGGTCAAAGTTCCTACGGGTTTAGGGTAGTTGTTTTGATTGGGTTTAGGAGAAGAGACGAGTCTTCATGTTAAGGGAGAGATAACCACCACAAGTGTAAAGGGGGTCGTAGGAAATGGTCTTTGCATCGTCTTAAGAAAAGGGCTTAAGTACTCGGATGGTCGCCAAGTATGCCTTTATCGCTCTTAAGGCAAAGTTCCTACATGTTTGATTGTATTGTTGCGGAGGTGGAGATTATATCTCACTTAAGATGATTAACATCTATTCTCTATTTGTGTTTGAAAAGTTTGTATTGTGTTGATTGTTTTTTT